CCTTGTGGGCATCAGGTCTGGGTCTGCTACCGTAACGGGCCATTGAGTTATCATGATTTATATTCATCTATCCATAATTTACATTCCTCCATCACATACTTGTCGGATCAATGGATGATGGCCTTAGGGACGAGGAATTTCGCTACTAGTTGGAGCAAAGACTAAAAAGAGGGGTAAAAAACTGTTTTTCTGAATTATTTAAATATAGTTAAAAATGTAAAATTAACCACATAATATACGATATAATAATTTTAAAATTCCGAGTGGTATTCATTACAACCCCGTGATGTTAGGTTTTCTAACATTCGATTAGTTTCAGGGAGTGTTTGAAAGCAATGTTTTGAAAACCGGACCGGACCGGCCGGTTCTACCGGTTCAACCGCGAACCGCTGCCATGTCCGGTCCGGTTAGATCTAAAAATCCAAAAACGCCAAAAAACCGGGTCAACTATCAAAATCCCAGTTCGACCGGTAAGAACCGGAAAACCCGGAACCCAGTCGTAGAACCGGGTTTTAGCTAAAAAATACGTCTTGGCCGGATCTGCGTCGATGGTGGCTGAATCTCGTTGGAGAAGGTTGTAGATGAACAGATCTAGACGGATCTTAGTCGTATGTGGCACAATAGAAGTGATGACCGCCATATCTATCGACTGAAGAAAATGAAAGGAAGAAGAAGAAGAAATTAAAATGAAGAGAAAAATTAAAACGAAGTGGACAAATGTGGCGGCGGTGAGAAGAAAGAACTGGGAAGAAAGGAAGGAAGAAGAAGAAGAAAAGAAGAAATGAAGAAAGAGAGTGTGGTTCTCGTGAAAAGTGCAGAGGAATAGGTAATTATATTATAAATTATGGTTTCCTATTAAATAAAAAAAAATTATAAATTAATTTTTAATAAGAAAAAAAATGGTGGAGTAAGTTGGAAAAATAAATTGACAAAAGTGGGAAGAAATAATAAAAAGAAATAAGAATATTTTTATTTAAGGTATTAAATTAATAAAATAATTATATGAAAAAAAAAAGTAAAAAACCCGGTCGGACCTCGGTTGAACCGGTCCGACCGTGATCCAATTAGTTATCCGGTTCGACTTTCGGTCCGGTTTTCAAAACATTGTTTGAAAGTATGAAAACTATAAAAACCTTAAAATTCTCAATTGTACATCTCCGAGGGGTGACTGTAATTTCCCCTATTTTTTATTGTTAATTAATTATCAATATTAATCTATTAGGATTTTCAACCTATACACTTTAATGGTCCATTAAAGTGGTTCAACTATATATATATATATATATATATATATATATATATATATATATATATATATATATATATATAAAATATGTGTATATATATCATTTTAATCTTTTAGAATTCATTTACATATTTCCGGTCAACTACGTAGACGCGTATATATATAATTGGGGTTTTTTGCAAAAACCACCCCTGTGAAATCTCAAATGGCTAAAAAAGTCCCCATGTTAAAAATATTAGCAAAAACCCCCCTGTGAAAATTAGTCAAAGCCAAAAAGGCCCCTGCGGGCTGATTGTGTGTTACACGCGCTGTGTGTGCGACTCTTTGTTATATTTTTTGTCATGAAAAGTCCCAAATGCCCTCTAAAATTATTTTATAGCTGAACATAAATTTATTTGGATTTAAAAATAAATAATCCAACTTTTTGGATGAAATTGCAATTTAAAAAAATTTCTTTACACAGCTTTTCCCAGCACCATTTCATCGTCACCATCAAACCATCCTTCCAATAGTGCAACCCATTCTCCCTACCAGGTACCTCAATGCTGCCGCCACATCGACGACTATCGGTGCTCCAGAATTCATCAAAAGCGAATTCAAGTCTAAAAGCCCAACTTTAGGGTCAGAGGTTTTGGGCTTTCTTCAACATTGAGAAAGAAGAGGGCCAAGATTCGATTTTCAACAGGGCCGCCCTAACCCTTGAGACAGAGAAAGAAGGGACCAAATTCCAGATCCAATTTTTTTTTATTCCGGATTTTGGGATTTTGGAACAAAGAAGATTCACCCATATACACAGGGGTAGAGAGTTAATTTGTGAGTGTAGCTCCACCATGGAATCCGCTGCCGGTTTTCGTCGCCACACCTTCCCCGATGCTGGTTGAACGTCCGTTTGATACGATATATTAAATAATATATCGTTTAATTATTAGTTTAGTTAATAATTTATTATTAATTAAGTAGATTAGTATATTTTATATATATTATTTAAGTATTAGTTTATTTAGTTTACATAGGAGCCGTAGTATTCTAGGTATAGGATAGGTATTTAATATTTTATTAGTATTTTATTAGTATAGGTAATTATGTTTCCTAGTTAGATTATGATTCTAGGGTTTTATTCTCTTTAAATAGTCGTATTGTGCTAGGGTTTTGATAATGAAGAGAAATAATAAACAAGAGTTTTCTTACGTTCAGTAAAGAAATCTTATGATACACAAGAGATCGCATCAATTGGTATCAGAGCGAAGTTGCGATTAACACCAACGCTTCGTTAGCAAGGCAACGATTACATCAAAGCTAAGCTGGAGCAAAGTTGAGATCACATCAAAACTTTGTGAAAATCATGATGTCCGAAACAAGACGGTTAGAGCGATTGGAGAAATCCGTAGAGAGATTACGGATTGATTTTCAGAAATTGCTCGAACAAAGTCACAGACGACGTCAACACCAACACAAAAGTCGAAGGGACCGCCGCCCATCACCGCCGCTGCCGCTGCCGAGCCTATCGCCGGAGAAAGAGGAAGAGGACGACGATGAATTTTTCGAAGAACCCCAATTGTTTGTGAGTTCGCCGAAAGAAGAAGAATCGGAATCAACTGAGATAAAGTGGGACGACGAGCCGAAAGAAGAATTATCGGATTCACTTGAGGTGATTTGGGACGAAGACGAGGAATTAACAAAGGAGGAGAACGAAGAGCTACGATGGATATTGGGAGATTTCCATGATGTTCAAAACAAAGAAGACGAAGGAGAATTGACGATTTTCAAGGAGAGTAAGAAATCTAACAATGCTATTGAGAAGATTGATGTATCACTAAAAGTGTCAAATATTTCTTCGATGATGTTTAATGAATTGTTTGACCATAACAAACAATACGTTAAAGAGTCAACGATGGTGGAGACATGTGATGAAGTAGTCGATCAATTGATTGAGATTCGTGTTCTCAGCATCCTACATGAGAACAAACTATTTTTGAAGAAATTTGATGGCATCAAGCATAGATGGAAGCGCAAAAAAAAAGAGAGAGCTGCAAGTATTCGAACCTTGAGGACAAGCTGCAAATATTCGAACCTTGAGGACAAGGTTCATTTCAAGAGGGGTGGTTTGATACGATATATTAAATAATATATCGTTTAATTATTAGTTTAGTTAATAATTTATTATTAATTAAGTAGATTAGTATATTTTATATATATTATTTAAGTATTAGTTTATTTAGTTTACATAGGAGCCGTAGTATTCTAGGTATAGGATAGGTATTTAATATTTTATTAGTATTTTATTAGTATAGGTAATTATGTTTCCTAGTTAGATTATGATTCTAGGGTTTTATTCTCTTTAAATAGTCGTATTGTGCTAGGGTTTTGATAATGAAGAGAAATAATAAACAAGAGTTTTCTTACGTTCAGTAAAGAAATCTTATGATACACAAGAGATCGCATCACCGTTTTTCTGCGGTCCTTATATTAGGGGAACAAAGAAGATTGTTGGAATTTTGTTAGTTTTTTGGGAAGATCTGAAGGAGGGGACGGAGAAGAGGAAGTAAGTGGAGGGGAGGGTGTACAACGACAAAAAGAGGGAGGAGGAAGGAGATGGAGAAAAAAACAAAAGAATAATAAAGTTCTTGTCGGAGAAGATGACCGGAAACAAGAATCCAACCCAGAAGATGGACCGTAGGAGGATATGTTTTTGGGATTTGGATATTTTACTTTATTATTATTTTTTAATTAGGGGTAGTTTAGTAATTTCACATGGGTCAACAGCTAATTTTAAAATAAGGGGCAGTATACTTTGTCAAAAATAACATAAGGGCTTTCTTGCTAATATTTTTAACACAAGGGTCTTTTTAACCATTCGAGATTACACAGGGGGTTATATGCAATTAGCTCTATATAATTGTGTACAAACACACATCCGCATTCACATGTCCATAATGTATAAATTGTATTTCAATATTCATTTGTATTAGTTTGACTTACGTATAGTTTTGAATGGTACCTACTTATATATAAAAGTGATTTTTTTTTTTTTTTTTGACATTATTTCAAAAATGAAATTTTGGGGTGAACTATATTATTGTAAAGTACAAAATATACAAAGAGCAAATAAGATTTTTCTTTTGTTAGTTTTTCAGATCAAAATTGAAATTATGTATACATCAAAAAATTGATTCAGTTTTTAAGTAATTATGATTTCTTCGGGGAATAAATTAGACATATATAGATACATATGATCAAAATTATTATGTATTTCACGTATTTTATTTTCAATTACAATTCCTAATAATTGTCTAGTTTCTTAGTATTTTTATATGACTAATTGATTGAATTTATCTAATTTCTACCCCAATTATCATTTCTTAAAAGAAAAAAAAAATGTGATTTTGTTTTGAAAAAAAACATGATTTATGATGGTAATTATAAGAAAAATGTTATTTATTTTTTGGACACTGGGGAGTTCGTATGAATTATTTTTTAAAATTAAGATTCGAAAAGAGAACCGGGAGAAAATTAAAACTAAAATTGTTTATTAAAAAAAATCGGGAAAAAGACCACCAAAAAACACTTCAAAAATTAAAATATCACGATACACTGAGTTTGTAGCTAAAATATCATTAGAAACGGTTGTAGGGTGCATTGTGCCGTAAGATATATAATTTAAGGGTGAACTTTGCCAGCTTTTAAATTTTATGGGATCAAAGTGCCAATTTAGATCATTTATGGGGTGCAAACCATAATTTTGGATAGGTAAGAAAGAAGAGTAGGCAGCCATAGATTGGAATTAAGATATCCATGCCAACTCATCTTTAAATTATATCATTAATATTTTTCAGCCTCATATATTATATGATCAGTCAAAATTAACTGCACAAAAATATTGAAATAATTGTCTATAAATGCACACATAAGTAATTAATTAATAATCATCAAGCCAATCACAAATACAAACAAGAAAACCAACACACACACACACACACCAAAAACAAAAGTACTTACGAAGATGTCTGATGAATGCAAAGGTAATTAAACACAAAATATTGTTGTTAAATTATATTACTTACTTATTAATCTTTTGATCGAACAAAAATGAAAATAAAGATGATCATATAAAGTAGAATAATATTTTTTTAAGTTAATGCATTTTTTTGTTGGCTATATACATAAAAAAAATATATGCAGGTAAAGAATCGTGGCCCGAGTTGGTCGGGGTACCTGGAAATGTCGCTGTAGCAACAATTGAGAGGGAGAACCCTTTGGTGAATGCGGTTATTGTACCACCTGGAAATTCTGTTATTACTGATTTTCGATGCGATCGCGTGTGGGTGTTTGTCGACGACAATGGCAATGTTAAAGACGTTCCTTTTATTGGTTAATTATTATTATAATTATTGGGGTTGGAATTAATAAAACATCATGTATGTATGTATGGTGTGAAACTACTAATAAAAACTATTAATGGGTGTATTAATGAAGATATATAGTACTTATGTATGATCTTGTATGTGTTTTTATGTCAATAAATGTAGAAGATGTTGTTCCTTTATAAATTACTTCTTATTCATGAATTTGGATCTTAATAATACTCATAATTGTCATAAGTACCTACGTGAAATTGATTTTTTTGTGGGCTGGTAGATCCAAGTGTTGAATAGTAATTAGTTTATGAAGAATGAAAATCGATTAATTAATTAAAAAATTCAATCCATAAATTTGTCGCTTTGGAAAATTTTGTTGGTTCCAAATTATTTGGCACTTTAGAATTACAATAAAGCATTAATTATATTATTTCAATTTTATCTTGTATGACTCCAAATTAATTGACAGATAATCCGCTGACATGCAGTTAGTAACTAAGATAGCACAATTATTAACTTTATTTTTTGCTATAATCTTCATGTTTATTGGGTTTTTTCTAATATGCGTGCAAAATCTAAAACAAACATTTGAAATGGGAAGGACGGAGTAGCATTTTATGAATGTAAATTATTTCATTATTTAAACAAGGGCAAATAGCAAAGACGTACATGACAAAGGAGTTAAATGTACATTGGTCCGGATAAAAAAAAAAAAAGTCTTTCAAATAAATCCATTCACACAACTTTTAATTTGTTTAAAATACCCTCTATAATATATTTTTATCAATCCACCCATTATGCTCTAACTTCTTCAATATTACACATTGACCACAGATTTAAACAAAATATATCACATTAATCCCCATTTTCATAATTTTTTGAAAAAATAATTTTTTTTCTGAAAATAAATTTCTTTTATGATTTTTTTTTTCAGGTCAGATTCCGGCGTTGACTTTTTTGTTTTTTTCATTATTATTATTTTTTTTCTGAAATTTTTTTCCAGCCCGTCAACCGCCGTTGACTGCCGGTCTACGACGTTGACTTTTTTCTTGTGAAAATTTTTTTTCCTCTCTAAATTACCGTGTTAACAAAAAAATTATTGTCTGAGATAGTAATATTGAATACCAAAACAGTAATATTCCTAATATTACTAGGGCTGAAAAACAATAACCACCTACCGAATATCATGGTATACCTACCAAATAATACCGACCGAAACTTCGGTTACCACTACATTTGGTACGGTACTGGTATCGTACCACTGGTATACGTACAATAGAGATATTGTATTTTTAATAACACGGTAATACCGACAAATTTGAATTTTATAATTTAACTAATATATATTATTTTATATTGGTTAATAATTAGCAAATGTTAAAATTACTACATAAAATAAATAGGTCAAAACTTAAAAAGTTAAAGTTCCTAAAAAAAGTTTTACGAAACAACATTAAATTTTAGTGCAAGAAAAAAATGTACATCTGATTTGATTTTCACTAAAATAGAGTGGCTGCAAATTAAAATTGAAAAGGAAATTCATGACTGTGTTAATTCTATTTTGCACAGTTTGGCTAAATAAATGAAGTTGAAGTTTGATAAATATTGGGAGAGGTATGAGAAATTGAATATAATCCTATAAATAACCATAGTTATTGGTTAAAGCGTTAAAATCGTTTATTGTGTTTACATAAAGATCGTCTTATTATAATTTATATCATTCAAAGGATAACAATTTAAAATTAATGGTAGAGTTCACATACTGATATACCGTACCGAAAGTAACGGTATACCTCAATTGTTGGTTCGATAACAGTATCAAGTTTTCCAATACCATATGATCTGATAGGTACACGATATTGATCAAAATATCCAGCAACCGTACCGAAACCACCCCTAAATATTACTGTCCCGAGCATTAATATTACTGTTTCGAATAGTAATAATATGAATATCACTTTCCCGAACAGTAATATTACTGTCCCAAACAGTAATATTATTGCATGAGACAGTAATATTATATACGGTCAGAGACAGTAATATTACGGTCGAAGACAGCAAAACTGTAGGCCAAGACAATAATGTTAATTAAGAGAGTAAAATTACTGGCTCAGACAGTAATATTATTGTCTCAAATAGTTAAATTATTGTTGGAGACAATAATTTAACAGCCAAGACAGTAGTAATATTAATTAAAATATTTTTTTTAAGAGAAAACAAGATTTTTTTAAAAAAAAAACAAGTTTTCAAAAAAAAAAAAAGAAAAAAAGTCAACCCCGGAGACCAGTGGTTGACCTGCTGCTGGAAAAAAAAAATTAGAAATTTTTTTTCCAAAAAACCAAAAAAAAAAGTCAACACCGGAGATAGGCGTTGGCTGTAAAAAATGAGGTTAAAATTGGAATAAGGGTCAAAATTGATTAATTGGTGAAATTAGGCCAAATTGGGGTGTAAATCATGAAATTGGAGTTGAATTAGTTGTTTCAATGAATTGAGGGTAATTTTGATATATATATATATATATATATATATATATATATATATATATATATATATATATATATATATATATATATATATATATATATATA